GTGTGAATGTTTCAACTGACCACCTTGATTAGCATTTAATGGCTTCGAAGTGCCTGGGGGAATCTTTTGTTGAGAGGTGATTTGATGTGCCTGTAAAATCCATGCTTGATTTTACTACTTCTCCTTCTGTATCCCATCCAAATGATATTGTTGAAGGCTTTCATGGCTGGAATCACTGGGTTGTTCTAGGTTTTTTTTGGGCTATATGGCCATAGTCTAGAGGCATTCTCTCCTGACGTTTCGCCTGCATCTATGGCAAGCATCCTCAGAGGTAGTGAGGTCTGTTGGAACTAGGAAAAGGGTTTATATATCTGTGGAATGACCAGGGTGAGACAAAGGACTCTTGTCTGCTGGAGCTAGGTGTGAATGTTTCAACTGACTACCTTAATTAGCATACAATGGCCTGACTGTGCCGGGGACAGAGCACCTGATGAACCAACCTGGACACAGCATTTTATTTGAGAACACAGAAATGCTGGATCACTCTCACAACCACCATGTCAGACTACACAGAGAAGCCATTGAAATCCACAAGCATGTGGACAATTTCAACAGAAAGGAGGAAACCATGAAAATGAACAAAATCTGGCTACCAGTATTAAAAAAAACTCTAAAATTGCAACAGCACAACAACAGAGAGGAAGCAGGCAGGGACATCTAATTACCTCTCAACAAAAGTTTGCCCCAGGCACAGTCAGGCCATTGTATGCTAATCAAGGTGGTCAGTTGAAACATTCACACCTAGCTCCAGCAGACAAGAGTCCTTTGTCTCACCCTGGTCATTCCACAGATATATAAATCCTTTTGCCTAGTTCCAACAGACCTCACTACTTCTGAGGATGCTTGTCATAGATGCAGGTGAAATGTCAGGAGAATGCCTCTAGACCAGGGGTCCTCAAGCTTTTTGAACAGAGGGCCAGACCACAGTCCCTCAAGCTGTTGGAGGGCCGGATTATAATTTGAAAAAAAGCATGAATGTATTCCTATGCACACTGCACATATTTTATTTGTAGTGCAAAAGACACTTAAAAACAATATATAATTAAAATGAAGAACAATTTTAACACATACAAACTTATTAGTATTTCACTGGGAAATGTGGGCCTACTTTTGGCTGATGACATAGGATTGTTGTTGTTATTGTGTGCTTTCAAGTTGTTTCAGACTTAGGTTGACCCTGAGCGAGGGCCGGTAAATGACCTTGAAGGGTCGTATCCGGCCATCCGACCTTAGTTTGAGGACCGCTGCTCTATTTTGTGCATGCATTTTGGTTCATTTGTAACTGCAAATGTTTTGATTTGGTTTTAAGCTTGCTGGTAATACTCTCACAACCACCATGTCAGACTACACAGAGAAGCCATTGAAATACACAAGCATGTGGACAATTTCAACAGAAAGGAGGAAACCATGAAAATGAACAAAATCTGGCTACCAGTATTAAAAAAACTCTAAAATTACAACAGCACAACAACAGAGAGGAAGCAGGCAGGGACATCTAATTACCTCTCAACAAAAGTTTGCCCCAGGCACAGTCAGGCCATTGTATGCTAATCAAGGTGGTCAGTTGAAACATTCACACCTAGCTCCAGCAGACAAGAGTCCTTTGTCTCACCCTGGTCATTCCACAGATATATAAACCCTTTTTCCTAGTTCCAACAGACCTCACTACTTCTGAGGATGCTTGTCATAGATGCAGGTGAAATGTCAGGAGAATGCCTCTAGACCAGGGGTCCTCAAGCTTTTTGAACAGAGGGCCAGACCACAGTCCCTCAAACTGTTGGAGGGCCGGATTATAATTTGAAAAAAAGCATGAATGTATTCCTATGCACACTGCACATATTTTATTTGTAGTGCAAAAGACACTTAAAAACAATATATAATTAAAATGAAGAACAATTTTAACACATACAAACTTATTAGTATTTCACTGGGAAATGTGGGCCTACTTTTGGCTGATGACATAGGATTGTTGTTGTTATTGTGTGCTTTCAAGTTGTTTCAGACTTAGGTTGACCCTGAGCGAGGGCCAGGTAAATGACCTTGGAGGGCCACATTTGGCCCCCGGGCCTTAGTTTGAGGACCCCTGCTCTAGACCATGGCCATATAGCCCGAAAAAACCTACAACAACCCATCCAAATGATTCCAGAGGCAAACCTCTGAAGGAATAGGATCTCAGACCAGCTGTGGTAAAAATCAAGAGTCCCTTTCTCACTATGTGAGCCTGCTCAAGATTTTGGAAAGGGGGATTTCTCTTGGTCCCAGTCCACCAGATATGGTTGGTGAGGACACAAAAGAGACCCTTAGCTGTTCCGAGGTTGTAAAGCTCTTTGTCACACAAAAATCCGCCCCTTCCCTGTTCTCCAGTTACTGATAGGTAAAGTGAGTATGCATCTGGCATCCAGGTCAAATTTAGGAACTATGCAGAAAAATCTTCAATGGGGTATGTGTGGTGAATATGCAATGTTTTGTCAGACACTGAAAATGATTTCATAATGTCTTAAAAGTATTGCTGTTTTAGTATGGTACTTTCTGTGTTTTTAAAACTTTGCATGATTACGTTTTAGTTCATATACCTGTTTTAATTAATATTGTAAGCCACTCTGGGTCCCAGAAAGACAGTGGTGGATCCACCAGCCACTCTGCATTGTGCAAGGAAAGACAGTTGCTGTCCTAATCCCTAGATCTATTTACCTTGGACTTCAGCTTCAATTCATTCTGTGATTCTTGCTGGTGTCCTTCGATTACAGAAGAGTGATGTACATTTTATTTGCCTTATTCATGAATGCTTGTATGCCCCTAGAATTCTTTGGATAGTGCTGCCATGTGACAGCTACATGTTATGTACCTTTAAATCATTTTTGACTTATAGCAACCCTAAGGCAAACCTATAGTGGAGTTTTCTGGAGCTGAAAGTGTGTATCTTTTTCTGGAAATCAGTTGAATGGTACCTAAGTTCATAAAACAAAGGTATTTTCTCTTAACCTTTCTCACTGTTGGTTTACTATTAATGAAGAGCAAAAGTCCTGTTAAGACAGACAGCTTAATCGAGGCAATGATTTTGGCAAGTTTGCACAGATGCTCTTGAAAACAAAATACAGTAGTTACTATTTAGCATGAATAGGTCCTCTAGAATTTCGTATCACTGGGATCATCCTTAATGTATTCCTCTAAGCTAAGTAAACACAAAGACTAATGAGAAATGTCAGAAATTCAAGTGTAACGAACAAACCATACTTATGTAATGTTGCCATATCAGAACTATTCCTGGCCCTGATATTTCATGATCCAAACCTGATAATAAAAGCCTTGTGATGTCACAGAGGACTGACCAGGTGATGTTACAGAGTGGGTTTTACAAAAAGAAGCCCTTGATAAGGGTGATATATTAAGTATCAACCACAGTTGTTCAGATTGTGCCACTCAAATCAATAACACCACATGCAACAAATGGGCAATATGCATACAGAAGCTTTTCAAGGCCGTTCTCTCTACAAGATTTCTTCCCCCTTTCTGTAAACTGAACAGAGCCCATGGCAAAAGATCTGATGATGATCTGGAACAATAATAACAATAACAGCAGCAGCAGCAGCAAAAAAAAAAAAATATCTAAGATCCAACGCCTTAAATGTTAACTTGTATTTTTGTTGAATAGAAGTAAGTACATATTCAATGAAATATGAATGCTATTACTTAATTACTTGGAAAGTACAGCTGCCATTACTACAGCATCCCATTCCCTGAGATGTCAACATCTGGAATCAAGGTGTGTGTCAATCAGGGGTAATATCACCAAAATGTGGCATGTCAGACCATTTCCTGGATCATCTCACTATGGAAATGGACATGATGGATCAGGATAAATGGGCCCAGAATATGAATAAAACTTAAAGAAGAAGAAAAACAGGAAGCATGACAACCAAGAGTAAAGGGCAGGAAACTATTTTAATGACTGGTCAGGCAGCAAAATGCAGCCTGTATTCAAAGTGGTTTCTACCATTTCCACGTGGTGTCACAATTGTGTGGTCTTGCCTACAGCACACATGTCAGGGAGAATTTTTAAGGCCTGATGCTGCTGCCTCCAGGGCACATACAGGAAGAAGTCTCATGAATGGTGCATGCTTTACTTCTTGCTTTGTTTTAGAGTTGGTTTTATATTATATTTTGGTTAATTCACTAATATCTTTCCTATAAAACTCTTTTCTGTAGTCAACCTTCTTTTTGTGGAACACTCACTCTCCCTGACCCTGCTGCCTCCTTTTTCTTTCTTCTGTTCATTAGTATACCTTTGCTTTTTCTACCCCCTTTCTCTTCCCAGTTTTCTTTCTCGTGTTCTAGCTTCTATATCCTCCCTCCCTCCTTCCTCCTATCATTTTTTCCCTGGTTTGTTGTCCACCTCTCAGCTGCCCCATCTTAAAGCATCCTTCTTTATGGACATAAAAGTGCTTTGTAAAAAGAAGTATCTCTAGTAGGCACTTTGTTAACTGGGGTATCACTCACTTTTAAGCATTTGAATTTCAAATGTACTTCCAGTGCAGAGGAGGAGATGGAGAAACTACTGTTCAAAGAAAAGTCTAATATATAGCTACTATATTGTTATGCTTGCCCCACTTTAGCTTTCAACAAGCTTGCCTCAAGCAGATGAGGTGACATCAAATGGCAAGTTGGAGCTGTTTCAGAAGGGATTTGTTTGTGATTTATTACTCCAGCTTATCATTCATCCTTTGAATGTTATAAGGTGCTGTAGGTTAAAATGGAAAATCTAAACAATGTGTTGCTCTGCAAACAATCCAAGTAACTAGTGACTAAATTCCATTGAACCGAATATTAAAACATTGCCTATTTGTTCTTTAGCTTCTGTTAACCTTTAATAGCTTGATACCTTAAGCCTTCTCTTGTTCTCTTTAATGCATGAATTCAGAAGATTGTTTTGCACCCTTCTATCTTCTTACACATCCACCCATCCACACATGCACCAAAACTATGTTCCTTTTATTTCCTAGGAGCAATATCTTGGGGAACTGCTACTCCTATGGATGTTGTGAAGAGTCGACTTCAAGCAGATGGGGTTTATTTAAACAAATATAGAGGAGTCATTGACTGTATCTCTCAAAGCTACCACGATGAGGGTCTAAAAGTAAGCACTACCAAAATACTATCTTCTCAATACAAATAACTAATTCACTTAATAAACATGAACTAGTATGATTTCCTCTCTACTTTGTTGCCTACAACCGACTCCAACATATGTTTGGTGTGTTATGTGTGCATGCGTATGTGTAAACTCCTGAAATTCTGAATAACAGTTCATGTATCTGAAGGAAGAAGCTGTAGTCCACAAAAATATGGGCCACAAGAAACTTGTTAGTCTTCAAAGATGCCACAGGACTCTCTTAGTTTTCCTTAAACAATAGAATAATATAGTTGTCAAATGTCACAGTTGCAAATGTAGATGGATAATTTCAACAGAATAATTTAGTATTATAACACAGATTTTGCCACTGGGGTGGTATGTCTTAAAGAATGATGATTACTGAAACCAGGTAGGTAATTTTATAATTACCTATGATCCAGGATAACTAATTGGAATTAACAGGCCATGGAAGCATTTCAGCAGTGTAGTACATGTTACTCAGATGAATTTTATCAAGTAAAGAACTGCTCCTCTTTACTTGAAAACCAACTATAGAATTCTGAGTTGAAATTTCATTCAGAAGATGTTTTTGTGTTGTTCCCATGGAAAATACTAGCTTGAAGTCTAGCTTCAAAATTAGAAATGGGAGAAATTTATTCAGCTTGTTTTTCTCTGCCATTCCAACTTCTTCAATTTAAAGCTGTCTCTTGAAATCTGCAGAGTTCCTACCTTTGTTCCCTACACCTTTGTCCTGAATTGGATTTATTATACCTTAACTTTGTGTGTGCCAAGTATACATTTTGAGATTTGATGTACAACATCCCTTACTTAAAGGCAATTTCAGTTGTATGTTTTAAGTCACATTTATCTAAATGATCACCCTTTTATCTCAGTTGCCTTGATCTTATCAAGCAACTACAAATGTTTCCAACTTCTATTTGCCTACAGCCACTGACAGCTGTGTCAATGCATTTCATTCCAGGTCTTAATGGAAAATTGCCATTGGCCCCCAAGCTAAATCCCAGTTCAGTACATGATGGGTTATTTGTCTAAAATAACACAGCTTTAGCATTTAATTGAGCACCTCCCCGCATTCATCTGCAACATTGAAAACCCAGCTCACTGGAGAGGGTGGAAAACATTCAACACTGACTTAATGTTTAAGTATTCATACAGTGAATCACACACGAGCAAAAAGCCCCTTGATAGACAGGAAAGAAAAGGACAAAGATTGAGCATCTCATATCTAGAATTCTGAAATCCAAAACTGTTCACTGGGGTGACTGAGACAGTGACATCTTTTTCCCCAATGATTCAATGCACATAAACTTTGCTTCATACACAAAAGTATTAAAATATTGTTTAAAATTACCCTTGAGCTATGTGCACATGTAAAATACATGTATTTCATGTTTAGACTTGGGTCCCATCTTCAAGATACCTCATGATGTACATATATAGAAGTATACATATTTTCAAATAAGGAGTAATCACCCACAACAGAGCTGCTTGCATGTCTGTCTATTACTGATTCCTCACCCACCTACAGCCAGAACAATCCAGTTCTGCAAGGCTTTGCTCTAGCTAGGATGCCAGCATGGAGCAGAAGACAGAGGGGCTTGTAATTGCCTCTTTCCCACCTACAGTTTGTTAGAACAGGGGAATGGTGACTATCTGCTACCAAAACCTTTCCTGCTCCCTGTCACAACCACCACCTTTGCCACAGCTTTTAGGAGGAAACGTAGCCCAGAAACCATCTATGACCTGTAATATAGCTTGGTTGGAATGAAATGTTTCTGCTGGCACCAGGAACTGGCAACAATAGTCTGGGACAACAAAAATATTATCTTGTTGCAATCCTAAAAACTACAGTTATAAATACCAGAACATACTGTAAAAAAAATCCTGGGCAGCCTTCAGCAAACCCTGCTCTCTTAGTTTATTTTGATTCATATTACGTGTACTACAAGGTATTGATATGGACACTGCAGGTTAAATATTCATTGTATGGGATTTTGAAGTCAAATATACATCAAAATCCAAAACTATCCACATGGATGCTGTGTGACATCTTTGCTCCCTGGTGGTACAATGCAGACATGCACAAAATCATTAAAATTTACATTTAGGCTGGGAATATATGAAATATTGCTTCATTTCGTATTTTTGTATCTTCAAGATATCTCATTTTATATATATGCAAGTATTCAAAAAGAATTCAAAAATCAAAATCCAAAACAGTGTATTGTCGAAGGCTTCCAAGGCTGGAATCATTGGGTTGTTGTAGGTTTTTCGGGTTATATGGACATGTTCTAGCAACATTCTCTCCTGACGTTTCACTTGCATTTATGGCAAGCACCCTCAGAGGTTGTAAGGTCAAAATCCAAAACCCTTCTGATCCCAAGTATTTGGGATAAAGAATAGTCTTTATTTATTTTTATATCCCAAGATGTTATCCTGTGGACAAATAAAAATCGATAAATAGAACTTCATTATCCAAGCCATAACAATAAATTCTATAGGATATAGCATGGACCTACTGTTTTTACATTTCTTCCCTTCTTTGACTTATTATATTGCTCCTACTCAAGTTTTCCAAGATTCTTTACAGCTGTTTTCCTTAGTGACCAGGTGCCTTGAGCAAAATGGTGACATTTTGTTAAGTACTTTATTATCTTTCACAACTTGCAGTGAGCTGAGGGAAATTACTGAACTGAGTTCACTTAAGGCCCTCACAGAAAAGGGATGTGAAAAGCCTGAGGTCTCATTCATTATTTCCTGCAACTGTAATGAAATATTTGCTAAGTTCTTTCAGGCTCACCTTTTCTCTCTTGTTCTGACCAGGTCTTTTTCAGAGGCTTTACAGTGAATGCTGTGCGTGGATTCCCAATGAGTGCGGCCATGTTTCTTGGATATGAACTTTCACTCAGAGCCCTCCGAGAGCAAGCAGAGGCAAATCCTTGACTGCCAGGTCAGTTTCATAACTATGTTGAGTGATTCCGTAATGTCTCCCTCTATAAATCTAGGCAATTATCATAACATCAAAACAGACAGTGATCTCAAAAACATTCACCTAAAGAAAACTTACACTGAAAGTAGCAGAACATTATTTAGCATAATGGGCCAGCTCAGCACAGAGGTGCTCATATGCTCATTGAAATCAATCAAGGTTGTGATTTGTTAAGGAAAGGTGAAGCCATGGAAAATAACAACCCCTATTGAAATAAATGACTTCCAGTGGATGCATACTATGGAATTTCACCGGAGGACCTAGAATACGAATAGAGAGAACATCTCTCCATCATTTATAGATCCTCCAGTTCAGCTTCCAGCAAAAATGACGCCATAGAGTCGTGTTGGGGGCCTAGAAAATGCCTGGAGAAAACATATTTTTTTCAGACTTTTGTAAGTGAAACCATGAGTATCAGTGTCCTGATACAGGGATTGCATTCATTATCTGCATTTGACTGTTCCCACTGGAAGAAAAATGAACATTGCTACTAATTTCCATGGGAAATGGTGGTGCTCATTTGTTCCTCTCTTGATCATACTTGAGTGCCCACTCGTAGATGACAAAATCTATGAACTTGTATGGTGAAAATAACTAACTTTGCGCAATGTTCTTTTTAAAGAGGTACATGACATTGTTAATTGTGTATATTTGAAAAAGTTACATATTTTCTAAAACTATTCTGGTCATTTAGTGCTGGGAGAAGCTGGCTCAGCAGGGGGCTGCTGTTTATTAATAGCTACAATTCTGGAATAAAGTTTTGAGTATTCATAGGAATAGCCTTAATAATATCGCAAAACCTCTGACTGGTGCTAAGGTGCCGAAACGATACTGTGTGCCATAGATATGAAACATTTTATAGTACAGCAATTGCTAAAATCCTTTTGTCTGTATGCAGTTTGTAACATTGCATTTCTTAGGTATTTCTGTTTTCTTCCTAAGGAGTCGTCTGCTCCTTATCATTACTACTTCCTGAGCCAATTTCCCAATCAATGCAGAATGTGGAAACTGCCTTGAAAAAAACCCCATCATGCCAGAGAATTTTCTATTTGTGAACAGTAATGGCTGATCCAACATATGAAAGACTGAAGTGTTGGCAAATCAATTCAATTCTGAGGTAAAGGCTGCAATCAAAAAATTCCTCCAAACTTTTCAACTGTACAACCTGAGGACGAGACACTCACTTTCTATCATCATCTATAAGTTGTTAATTGGGGTCCTGTACCTAGAACAACACAAGGAAATAGCTTCTAATACATTGCAACCATCTTCTTGTCCCTTGTTTTTATGATTAGATGTCTTGTGAATTGGAATACAAGAACGAACTGTATAATGTCTTCAAGGCATCAAGTGCTTAAATGGCAGTTTAATCTATTGATTTTTGCATATCACAAGTGTATCCCAATGTATCATTGTTTTTTCCCCACACGGTTGCTATTCCCTAATTCAATGTATGCATGTTTTTAATGGAGAATGGCTTGTTACACTGAATGATAAACAAAATGTAAGAAGATATCTGTAAATTAATAAAGGAAAATAATTATTTATAAGCAATCTATGTCAAGACCCAGGTCCAGCGGCAGGACAAAACAGCAATGCAGGAGTTAATTGAAGGTGTTTAATGTCTCTTTAACAAAACAAAAGGGCTCTTCACTTCAGAGGAATAAACAAAAGGAGCTTGCAGTCAGCAGTAATGTAAACAAACCGGCTTCAGTCAGCGAAAGGAAAGGCAGTCTCTAACACAAACAGGCAGCTTGTCTTCAGCATACAAACATAGTCCAAAACAACAGCAACAAATCAGCAAACAACACTCCGTATGGAGAGCGGTCCAACGAAGATTCTGGGGCAAGGCAGAGGCGTAGTCAGGCAGTCCGAGGGTCAGAACAAGGCACACTCACGAGTCAGGGTCCGGCAGGGATGATCACACGAACAGGAACACGAAGCTGCAACAAGAGCTCACGGCAGGAGTTAACACAAAGCACACAGCATGCGACACTTTGAACTCTGCCATTAGATGGTCCTCAAACCGCTCCTTAAATTTCATCCGAATCGCTGGAGCTGCTTTCAGCTGGATCTAAACCCTCAGGTGAATTGAAGCCACGCCATTGCTGCCACTCAGCACTTCGGGCTCCATCCTGCAAAGTAACATCATTAAAACCCTGGAATTCATCGCTAGACGTGGGGGCGTTAAGAACATCCATTACTTCCTGAACTTTAGTCCAGTCCAGCTCTTCCTCTTCGCTGTCAAAGTCTGCACAGTCAGCTACGTCTCTCAGACGTTTAGCAACAGACCCCACATCACTATTAGAGCTGCTGGCTACTCTTTTTACACCTCTGTAGTCATCTAGCTCCATTTCCTCGTGAGTAAAGCCCACAAAATCCTCCTCATCAGTAGTCTCTAGAAACAAGTCCCTGATCCTTTTCAGCTGCTGCTGCTCTTCATCATTCTCTAAGCCACGTTTTCTCCTACAACTGGTAGTAGGTGCATCAGACAGACGCTGAGTCTCAACACTCTATGTGGTCACAGGTCTCCAGATATTCCCAACACTTATTTGGCTCTTCTCAGAAAATAGCAAATAGGGTTTATATATACTGTAGAGTGAATGCAATTTGATACCAATTTAATTCCCATGGCTCAATGCTATGGCATCCTGGGATTTGTAGGCACCAGCACTCCTTGGCAGAGAAGGCTAAGGACTTTGTGCATCTCTCAAGCTTCCACAGCACTGAGCCATGGCACTTCACTTTAAGTGAAGTTGAACTGCATTAATTCTGCAACCTTAGTTTTATAAGAATCAGCTTAGGCCACTATTTTTATGGTTTAGTCCAACAGTGCAAGCACAGCAAGAAATCTAAAGAACCATTTTGAGTTGGGTGAAATGGATACCAAACTGGTTCTTGTTGATCAACAGTAATCCTTCAATGAAGCCCTTAAGTGTCCATCAATCATAGCAATATCAGCTGCTTGACTTTTTGCACAATATCATGCCAGAGCTCCCTATTGGCTGTCGTTACCCCAGCTCCTTCAGAGTCAAGCCAGTCACTTCAAGGAAACATCCATCCATCTTGTCCATGGTTGGCCTCTATTCCTTTTTCCTTCCATTTTACCCAGCATCATTGTCTTCTCTAAGTTTTCCTGTTTTCTCATTATGTGGCCAAAGTATTTCATCTTTGCCTCTAATACCCTTCCCTCCAATGAGCAGTCGGGCTTTATTTCATGAAGTATGGACTGGTTGGATCTTTTCGTTGTCCAAGGCACTCTCAAAATTTTCCTCCAGTACCACAGTTCAAAAGCGTCAATCTTCCTTCGCTCAGCCTTCCCTATGGTCCAGCTCTCGCATCCATAGGTTACTATGGGAAATACCATTGCTTTAACTATGTGCAGTTCAAGGTACCACAATTCAATAAGGATATTGACAAGCTGGAATGCATCCAGAGAAGGGCAACTGCAATAAAGCAGCTTACTACTAGTAGTATTAGTAGACGAGGCCGTGAGGAACAAGAGATATACACACCTTCACACACCAGGTAGGACAGTGGGATGCTATCACTCTATATTTTTCTTTGCTGCCACCAAATACTTAATAAAGGGGTTTTTTTTTTCTGCCCCCTTCCATTGTTTCATAGGCCACCTCCTTGCCAAAATGTTTAAGAAGACACACAAACTCCTCAGGTGAAATAAAACAAGAATATGTTGTTTATTTTGTTTTTAAACAGTGAAGACGTGTAGGGGTTTCACTAAATTGTCAGGCTTTACTTTTACAGAAAAAGGTTCTATAACTTGAGTTTCAAAGTTCAACACACAGAAATACAAACAGGTTATTCTAAACCAGTGTTTCTCAACCTGGGGGTTGGACCCCTGAGGGTGTGTCAGAAGAGTCTCAAAGACCATTAGAAAACTCAGTATTTTCTGTTGGTCATGAGAGTGCTGTGTGGGAAGTTTGGGCCAATTCCATCATTGTTGGGATTCAGAATGCTCTTTGATTGTAGATGAACTATAAATCCCAGCAACTACAACTCCCAAATAATAAAATCAATCCCCCCCCCAACCCCACCAGTATTCAAATTTGGGCGTATTTGTGTCAAATTTGGTCCAGTGAATGAAAATACATCCTGCATATCAGATACTGTTATAACGATTCATAACAGTAACAAAATTAGTTATGAAGTAGCGAAAATAATTTTGTAGTTGGGGATCACCACAACATGAGGAACTGTATTAAGGGGTCGTGGCATTAGGAAGATAGGGAAACACTGTTCTAAACCTTTTGAATCCTCTTTCCACACCAGCACTCTAACACTATAGAGGCCTAACTATATTTCTTACTCCTTTTTCCTGAAGGCATTAACTATTTTCCTCAAAGAGGTATCTTTTAACAACAGTTCCCAAAATGTTTCCTTCCTTCCCCTTCAAGACTCCTAACTAACTCTTTACACACCAACTCCAAACTGACAATGATGGCTGCCTTAGCTCCTTCCTTTCTCTTTGGCTCCACCCATCTCCAGTTGCTAAGCAACTCCCTCAAATTTTATCAGCCAATCAGACTGCACTTCCAGTTATGAAGCTGCCTGATCGCTTCACACACACACAGTGAAGTGCTTTGATTCTGTATTCCTGCATGGCAAAATTGAGATGGATTGGATAACTCTTGTGGTGTCTTCCAGCTCTATGATTCTGTGATGCAGCCTGGTGGAATTTTTTTTCTCTTACAAATATGTACTCCTCCTAGCAACTGGTATTTCCATCTTGTAAGTTGCTTAAGTTTATCTTTTTAAAAAGCGAGTGATTGCTCTACTGTAATCCTTCTGTTCTTTTTGGCATTACTGAACTTTCAAGGGAGAACATGTGGGTGGGGGGTGTGGGCATATAGAGAAATCACACATTTCTAGAAAGCAGAAATTTCTTAAAGAGATGTTAACAATCTCATGGATGGCTTACTTTGCTTTAACTTGTCAGATCTGTAGGTGGAGATGAGGTTACTGATCTAAAAATCCCAATTAAGCTGTTATTCTATGTCCAGTTACAGGTTGAAAAGGCTTTTTGGTGAGGGAGGCAGGGGAAGGGGCAGGAAAGAGGGAAAGTTTGGAGGAGGAGAAAAGCATAGAACCCCTCAGTATGCTTCATGGACCCCCAAGGGCTCCACAGATCACTTTGAGAACCACTGCATTAGCCTATAGCAAATCATGAGGGGTCATGCCAGCCTCCACAGAAATAAAGACAAAAAATATTGTATTGTCGAAGGCTTTCATGGCTGGAATCACTAGGTTCTTGTGGGTTTTTTCGGGCTATAGGGCCATGCCTCTAGAACATGGCCCTATAGCCTGAAAAAACCCACAAGAACCTACAAAAATATTGCCTTCAGACACCTCTAGTGCAGGGCTTCTTAAATCTTTTTCACTTACAACCCCTTTCTGCACAAGAAAACTTATGTGATCCTTTTCCACCCGCCTAAGAAAATTTTGCACAACTCAGGGTATATAAAATCAGTGCACAAATCAAACATTTACTGTGGAGCATAGCTGAAGCATTTTCTGCAGAGTCCACTGTAAACAAAGCATGTTGCTGCTAACAGATTTGTGTAAATAGGTGGCCAAATTTTTCAAAACCCCAACATTAAGCCAAGGGGACTTAATTTGGGTTCCGGATCCTCATTTTAAGAAGCAGTGCTCCAGTAGATATTGGAGCATTTCCACTGTGCTTTGAGATTCTCCCCCCCCCCCCCCCCCCCAAGCCTCCTCTGTGCCAAAATGCTCCAGGGGCCCTGTGGAGGGAAATGTAATTTGTGAATTGGGTTTTTGTAGGTTTTTTCAGGCTATACGGCCATGTTCTAGAGGCATTCTCTCCTGATGTTTTGCCTGCATCTATGGCAAGCATCCTCAGAGGTAGTGAGGATGCTTGTCATAGAAGCAGGCGAAATGTCAGGAGAGAATGCCTCTAGAACATGGCCACATAGCCCAAAAAAACCTACAATAACCCAGTGATTCAGGCCATGAAAGCCTTCGACAATAACTTGTGAATTATTTGGAGTATTTTAGGGCAAATAATGTAATTCCCCCCCCCCCCCCCCCCCCCCCCCCCCCCCCCCCCCCACTCTTTTTTGATCCCTGCAGGGCCGAAGAGGACTAAAACGTGGCAAAAAAAGCTATCTACACACCTTAATTACAAAATAAACACAGATATTTATTTATTTATTTATTTATATTTGCATATATATTTGAGAGAAAAAAACCAAAACAAACCCAGCCTTGTGGTGCCACATCCAACGTGTAAGCTGCATTTTGTCAAATCCTGACTTAGAAAGTCCCTGAAGTTTATGGCACATTTAGTAGAATGGTCTCTTCAATACGGCTTGTGCCATCAGTATGTGTGTCTAAAAGCTTTCTTCTTAAACTTGGGCTGAGTACATCATGGCCCTCTGAATACATTTGAATTGTAACTGCCCTCACTTCTCACCAATTGTTATGGTAGATAAGACTGATGGAAGTTTAAGTCTAACAAAATCTGAAATACCACATGTTGCCAACCCGTGCTGTAAACTGATGACCATTTGTGCTGCTTCTGAATGGTGCAGCAAGTGTGAAGTATTCGGAGTAGCTTTTATCTGATAGCCATTTTTTCTGGCACCTTTAATGTTTCATTAGGCTTCTTTTCGCAAACATTTTTCTCAGTGGTAAGAAACTGAAATGCTTTTATGCAAGGAAGGAGGAATGTATATGACAATGTATTGTCGAAGGCTTTCATGGCTGGAATCACTAGGTTCTTGTGGGTTTTTTCGGGCTATAGGGCCATGTTCTAGAGGCATTTCTCCTGACGTTTCGCCTGCATCTATGGCAAGCACCCTCAACACAATTCTAGAGGCTGACCAAAGAATTGTACTGGATGACCTCACTACCTCTGAGGATGCTTGCCATAGATGCAGGCGAAACGTCAGGAGAAATGCCTCTAGAACATGGCCTTATAGCCCGAAAAAACCCACAAGAACCTAATGTATATGACACTTTGGATCCTTGCCAAAATACCTTCCATACCTGGTATATTCTATCATCCACAGGGCGCCAGGTTGAGAAAGCCTGATATACAGCGTGGTAAAGGATAACATTTCAAACTTTGTAATATTTTGTGAGCATAAGCTATCGGGATACAGAGATGTGAAGAAATAAAAAAGAAATAATATGCAGATTTCAGTGACACCTTAATAATTGTGCTTTTATATTCATTGCTGCCCCTGCACTGATCAACGCAGTCAAGTATTTATATTCACAGATCTATGAAATGCTGTCAGTCCTCCACATTTACTAGGATTAGACTCACTAGATTACTGCAAAATTGGGGGGGGGGTATTTTTATCTGAGAAAACACTTTTCTTGGAATTCCTAAACCCCTCAACACAATTCTAGAGGCTGACCAAAGAATTGTACTGGATGACTTACAAATGCCTAGAAAAATGTTCTCTCTTGGAATTTTTAGGTCCTCTATAGGCCAACTTCCTATAGAAAATATATTTATCACATCCAAAAGTGAAACCTGTAAATTTGGAGGGCTGGCTGTGCAACTAAATAAAGCTAAACTCTATGCACTTCAGCAGTGATGATGCAGATGTGGAGGATCAAATGGTTTCCTTTAGCTGTTTTTCTTTTATTCCTACAACAAAATGTGTGACTTAAGTTTTCTTCTTGTGAGCCAGAAAGCTTTATCTCTAGAAAATGAAAAACTATCAAGTCATAAAAAAAACTAAACAGCTCAATTCTCTACGTTTTGTGGTTATTTTCTGCTACATCTCCAGCATAATCATCTCTTCCTTGTGGTTACTTCTCCACATTATCTTGATAATGATGTATGATAAAAGCATGCAAAAAATTTTCATAGCTTTACTCTGCAGAGATTTTCCCCTCAACATGGTTTTCTTTTTGAAATCTCATCTCTTCCATGATGAATGTAAGCAAAGACCTTATGCTGTTGGCCTCGGTGTTTCTCATCCATTAGGCAAGTCCCCTCCTTCAGCCAGCAAACCCAAACCCAAAAACCCAAAAGATGTCAGGATAATACTACCCTTCAAATTTGAATAAAGAAGTAGTGTGATTTTGTAAACTGTTGTGCATTATTACATCAATAATCTTTCAAAATTCCTTCCTTTTTTCTTACTTAGAATTGTTTGAAATTTGATTCACAGAAGCAAGGCAAGGCTTATTGTTGGGAGAGCAAGGAAAAGCCAGTGATGTTGTGGTGCAGAGAGTGGCAGTGTGGGGTTAAACGATAAGGCTCAGTTTGCCATGTAGCCAGTTTCCCTATGCCCCTTAAGCTAGCCTTCTGCTCTCAGGTGCAGGACTGGATATCATTCCACCATTAGTGTTGAAGCAGGCATCGTTTGTCACTCCAGTGGCTTTCTATTCATGGAAGTAATAACCATTACTTTCTCCTTGATCTTGGGCACTAAAATGGCTGGGGCTGGCCTCACCCATTTGTACCTCCATGCATGTACAGAGGAATGGTTTCTACATGTGTTGGATAAAGTACCCCAGCAAAGAAAAATGGGGCAGCATACTGTCGCTTTGGGCTGCAGGCCTTGGGGACAGCAGATTGTAGAGAGCAGCAAACTGTCAAAACCAACTAACGAGTGTGTTGGTGGGTAATAAGAATTACAAGAAAACATGAAAGACTATTGGCTTATATGAATAGGAAAAATTGTGCATATATGTATATTTCCAAGTATGCTGGGAATTTAAAAACACAGCCAGTGCAGTCATGTCAGCACAATACAGTGAACACATGATAATGGTAGAAATGCTCTTATGTGCCAACATGACTTCAGAATGTGGGAACTCTATGCCTTTCGAGACTAATTTGAGTTCCAATTCTGATTTCTGCATGATATTAACCAGGGCAGGACACTCTGCACTGGAGCTAGGATGCAGCCCTCATGTGGATTTAGTCTTGGAAAATATACATTTTAGAGACATCGAGGCTCAGAATCCCATAGTAACATACCTTGGTTCTGAGTTAGTAATTCATGTATGTTACTTGTTACAGTGTATGAATAATCCACTGCTGTTGAAAAAGTAACTTGGTGTTATTTATTGCATGCTTCAGTGCTCTTCTTTTAGGATGTCATAATTCATATGAGTCCTCCCCTGTCTTGCTGACAATCGCAATGTCCCGTGCACCCTCCTCCTTCCCTATCACATGGGGAGAACTGGACAATGCACGTTGGCGCCCTGTCCCCATCAGATGGGGAAAGGGGGAGAAAAGTGCGGGTAGCTCACTCAGAAATACCCAAAACACGATTTACCTTGTGTCATTGGTGAGGAAGCATCTTGCAACATTTCCTTGCCACTTTGGGGAGTTATGGGGTGGAGTGGGGGCAAGCCAGCGTTGTATGATTGTTCTCGGCAAGCCCCATCTCCGAAGAGTAGTAAGGGGGCAAAAGCCCCAAGTGTGATAAGGTCCTAGGTCTGAAATTGTTCAGGACAGTGATTATTAGAATTGATGTCAAAAGGGCATAGAACTTGAAAAAAAATCATGTCTTCGAGGAAATAGATCATTTTGACAGACTGAGCCTGGTTTCAAGTCAAAATTTGACACTGAAATGGCCTTAGTGACTCTGATCTGTGTGATCTGTGTGAATGTATAATGCACCAGTATGCAAACAACAATGGATTTGTCCTGAAGTCATTTTCAACACCTCTAATCTGAGAGGAATTTAGATTCAGCACAATCTGAATTGCTGTATTCTCAATTTAACTGGCACCACTCCAAAAGGCTATAAATCTTCACTAATTTTATTCTTAAAGGAATTAGTGAATAGTCTGAGCAATTGTCTTCCTCCTGTGGAAAAAAATGATTTTAAATTTGATTAATTGATTTTTCACTCAATATTTGTATAATCCTGTAAACTTGATAAGTTCAATTTATGTTTATAACTGAAAAGAATAATTTGGATAGCTCAGACATGTTGGTTGAAAGGCAGGGAGAACCACTACATTCTTATGAATCTACCACCGGCTCATGTTTACTTCCCTACTTTATTACTAAAGGAGGTGGACTGTCTGAATAAAACTCTTATAATGTGAACCTGATAGCTCATCATCCTCACTGTTGGTTTTTATACCATCATCACTGCACATGGCGCCATACAAGCCAAAGAACAACAAACAATTCCCTGCCTTCAGGCTCATAATGTACATTGATTTCACCTAGATATTCACATTGGTATAAATGAAGAGATAAGAGGAACAAAATATCTGTTCCACCTTTTTCAAGACAGCACTTGCAAGTTTCAGATACATTAATTCTCAAGGTGCACTTCTGCCAAGTGGAATCATCAACATAGACATATTTTCCAAACTTGTGTTCCAAAGAAAATCCCATGATGTTTGGTGTACATATGGGAATCAAGGGGAAATCTGTATCTTCAGGATGTGACTGTACAAATACACTGAATTCTCTGAATGTAGGGAAAGTTTTATCTGAAAGAATTAACCAAGATTGCAAAAACAGCCGTGCCCTCATAGAAAAGTATACACTGATCCGTTTCCTATTGTGGTTTCACTCAGTAATGGTTAAATTAATTGCCTTGGTAAAACATTTATGAATTTTAATCTCGAGGAAAACCACAACATAGATGGGGCACCTCTGCATTTCCTAGCACTAAAATGAACTCCAACTTTGGAAGAGAGAAAAATAGTGGGCACTTAGTATTGATACTGTGACTAGCTTTTTCCCCTTCCCATGATCAAGATAATTCTGTAGATCTCTCAATTTAAAGGAGTCCGCCGAGCAATTTTTTTCAGTATCAAAGTAAGTAGCTCTCGAACACCATGATGCTGGGTTACCTCACCTTCGGCTGTTTCATCTTAGCACAGGTCAAAGGACAATGCCTTACCAGAGAACTCAATATAAAAGTAAATAATCTTGTAAGTATAAACATGTTTAGATTTTGTTTTTATTTTTAAAACTGTTTTTAAACTAACTGATCATTGTTATACAATTCTTCCAATGTTATCATTTTAGCGTAAGAACACCAGATGCATTATTGGAGACACAGTAAGTGAACTACTCTCTTTTAACATGTGTTTCTACATACAAACAACTTAAATAGTTATACTGAGTTTACATGTGTTTTATTTTTGTTTTGTTTCTTTTCAGGCAAATTTGAGATTACCTACTGAATGGGTAAGCAAATATTCCAGCTGCTTTCAGGGAGGGAGGAGAATGGATTATGGTATTCGTCAGTCACCACAATACACCCATTGAATCAATGGGATCTATCCAAGTGTTGGTATGCCACATAACAATGTATTTATCAGACAAGTTGGAATTAGCAATTGAATTGGGTAGGGTTAAAATAGATTTTGGGACTGTTAAATTAAAATTGTAAGAAGGGATTTTAAAAAATCATGAAATCTACTCATATCACAAATACTGATTTATCTGGATATTACCATAAACTCAAGGGTGACATTAAAAAGTACTTGAAAGCTACATGTGGGCTAATGGTATTGTGGTCTCAGCATAAAAACTTAACACTACTAAACTATGGAATATATATAAAAGTGAGTATATAAGAAATAGTTTAGAGGGGAAAAAACCCTAAACTTTTAAAATTTGGTTGAAATTAAAGGCAATACTATTGTCAAAGGCTTTCACGGCTGGAATCACTGGAGTGTTGTATGGTTTCTGGACTGTTTGGCCATGCTCTAGCAGTATTTTCTCCTGTCTTTTTACCTGCATCTGTGGCTGGCATCTTCAGAGGCAATACTCTTTTACTGAAACATTTAAAAGTTTAACTCTGGGTGCTTTTTGAGGCATATTAGTACAATTTAAGGATTTAGCAAATTACTGAAAGTATTAAAACAGTGCTGATTATATATATCTATCTATAAGTAACATATTTTATTGGAACTCTCTATGAAAATGGATTAGAGCAGCATTTTCAAATGAAATTGCTGTTTGTTGTTATTTGGTGCCTTCAAGTCATTTCCTAAAGTGAACCTACCATGGAGTTTTCTTGACAAGTTTTGTCCAGAGAGGGGTTATTTTTGCCTCCCTTTGAGGCTGAAACAGTGTGATCTGATCAAGGTGATCCACTGGGTTTCCATGGCCGAATGAGGATTTGAGACCTGGTCCCCAAAGTTATAGTCAAATAATCAAACCACTAGACCATGCTGGCTCTCAAAATAAACATTAAAAGAATATTTTGGCTTTTATTTGGCTACTTCAAATCCAATATTAACTGCCATATGTCATTTCAGTGAAGATTTTACTATATCTCAAAATTTTGGATTTTACTATCTCTCAAAATTTTCTCTCATTAAAATTAATGCTAAATTGAAACAAAGACAAAGCAGACTAGAGACATCGACTAACCAGGAAAGATAAGCTTTCGGAGTCTACAAGTGGATTTCTTTTTTCTTGATACAGTGTGCCCTCACTTATTGCAGGAGTTACGTTCCAGGACCTCCTGCAATAAGTGAAAAACCACAAAGTAGGGACGCTCTATTTATTTTAATATGTATACATTATTTTAGTAGGTATACACTATTGTAAGTCTTTATACACTTAAAATAAAGTGAAGGAAAGGAAGGAAAGACACTTCAAGGCTGGAGGGAGGAGGTAAAGCACCTCGGAGAGCGGTGGCAGCAAAAACCCAGAAAACAGTGAAAATACCTATATATATACATTAATATTTTTTGAAATCTGTGAAACAGCCAGTCCGTTAAACATGAACCATGACGTAGCGAGGGAACACTGTAATCTCAAAAGTACTACTGGATTCCTCTATATCTTATGTTAAAGTAAACTAACATATTTCTCCCTTTGGATATATTTCTGAAATGAAATTGTTAAACAATGGGAATAGAGAAGGCCCCTTTTTAATTAGCCTAGGTTTTCTGTCTGTGTTAAATTTCCAAAAACAGAACTGATCTTTAGGCATATTTCCTTATGCCTTGGCAGTTTCATTCATTAGATATTCAGCATTATCCTGTATGTAGGTATCTGGAAGTGTGTTTCACTGCATTCAGGATAATTTACTACCAACTGAGCATGTGCAGGGTTCCAACTTTTAAAAATAAAACTCAATTCTGTTTTCATATATTGTTCATGATGCAGTTAAAGAGGTATTTTGTTTTACACTGATCAAGCTAATCAGGGTCCTTATTTTTAAATAGAACCAACATCTAGCAACCAGAACCATATACAAAATAGGACCAAAAGAGTTAACTATCTACACTACCCTATAAACCCTGCTCTGGGATGATTTGCATCTATAATCACAAACCTGAAAGTTAATATTCAATATAAATTATCCAGCAATGTTAATAAATCATGTATTTTTTAAAATATAAATTAAAGCTTTTCATGAAATATGCTTTTCATGAAATATACATTTCATTATTCAAATTTATGAATGTCCGTATCTCTTTAAAGGGGTTGCTTTAACTTCCAGTTTGCAAGTAAAACTGAATTAGTGTGCCACAAAATGATGTATGTCTAAAAAGTGTGTCACCAACCTGAAATGTTTGAAAAGCTCTGATGTAGAGGAACAATCCCAGGCCAAGATCATCCAGGCTTATTCATCCAGTCATTATGCAGACATACACTGAAAATTCAAGAGTTGATATAACATAGAACATTCAAAAGAATGGATAGGTTTAATCCTATATGCAAACAATTTCAAAATATTTAAACCAAGGATTATTTATTTTATTTGTTAAGACATTTGTATCCCATGCCGCCCTCTAATTCAAGAGTTCAGGGTGGCATACAATACAATAAAATTAGCCGAATCCATTTAGAACAGTGTAAAAATAAAAATAACCAATAGGATGAAGTCAATTTCTAATGTTTAAAAAATGCAAGACATCTTTCTTGGGAGGCAGGATTCTGCTATTAGGATGGTTATGTTTTGCTTGCTTTATAACTACCACTGCAACCATATCTACAAGTGGATTAATAAAGCATTTATTATTTCTCAGCCTACTTGTAAATGGCCATGCCTCCGGAAAGGATTTGAAGATATCGGAAATCAGCCAGACATCAGCTGTGCTAAGACAATCAAGTCAATCAATGTCAGGATTAAAGGATTAAACAAATGCCTGGTAAGTTTTCAGGTAAACATTTAATTAATGTAATGCATGTTTTGAACCACAGAACCTTTCAGGATTACAAATAATGTCACTCACTGATTCTTTATGATTAAAAGCATTAAAGTGTGATGAGTAGTCAAACCAAATGAGGAAGTTATCATTTCCTCCTTACCTTTGACCCTGTATCAGTGAGCATAGTCATAAATAGTGACAGTGCAAAACCCTAATCAGAGATTGTAGGGGAAGGGTATATAAATTGAATTAAATTCATATTAATCAGGGGTTCATCTGCTTGAATTAAAGGGGATATATTTATTTACTTAGGCGATTCCTTGTAGCCCGAGTATGATGGTCCTCTTGGCAGTGGGACCATAGGTGGCTGTGGAGCCCAGTTCTTGATCCTCAGGTTCTTCCACAGTGAGAACATCAGTTTCCAGGTGGAAGACAGTCTTGGACAGGGTTGACCTGACATGCCTTCCTCTTGGCATGTTTCTCCCTTCCGATATATTTGTATCACAATGGCAAATAACTACTAATTATCTTTCAATATCTTTTCATTGTTTGTTTCATTGAAGAGATTGTTTCGCTTATTCAGCTAGGACAATGGTTCTCAACCTGGGCTCCCCAGATGTTTTTGGCCTTCAACTCCCAGAAATCCTAAAAGCTGGTAAACTGACTGGGATTTCTGGGAGTTGTAGGCCAAAAACATCTGGGGACCCCAGGTTGTGAACCACTGAGCTAGGATAAGGCAAAGTTAGTCTTGTAGCTGGTTGTCTGCTCACATCTTTATACAATGCAGTTTTATAATTGATTAAACTATTGGAATTTAAGAAACCTAGAAGAAAAAAACAGTTCTAAGTGCACACAAAAAATTAAAAATATCCAACACATTTTAGAAAATTTCCCACAAGAGAACACTATAAAGCACAGTGTAGTGGAGTTACATCTATGGCAGGATACCTATGAAATATTAAGTGAACCCTAAGAGGCCTGAATTTGCTGTAGATGATGAGGGAGCTGAATTATTGACACATATTCCCTCCTAGCTTTGCACTGTCACTATTTATGACTATGCTCACTGATAAAGAGTCGAAGGTAAGGAGAAAATGATATCTTCTTCATCACTATTTATGCACTATTTATGTCAAATTCACTAATCTACAAGGAAATTTGAATTTTTATTTGAAATCAAGACTTCATATGAGTTTGGTTTATAATTTTTTTTCTTCCACAGAATAATACCAGTAATGCAGTGTGTGAAAATGCCGCAGTTGGGAACATGGCAGAATTTTTACAAGAAGCACAAAACTACCTTTCATATCTGCAAAGGAACCACTTACATAATCAGTGCTAAACTGATGTTATTTATTATATTTCTGTGAAAAATGACTGATCTGAAATTTATGTTAATAAAAAAAATCTTAAAGGTGAATTTTGTAATGTAACCAGAGGTGTTTCTATTGGACATTATGGATGAAGAATTGGATAGTAAATAAGGATTATTTGTTTGAAACATGATAATGGCAAGTATATTTTTTGCTCAAATTTGGAAATGAAGTGATGCACCAACAGTAGAAGAAAGGATTGTTAAGGTTGCTGAGTTGATCCAAGTTACTGAATTAATGTGCATCCTAAAAAAAATAAGCCAATTGAAAGTTTTCTAAAACACTGATATGGACTTTTTTTTAAAAAAAGTTACAAAATGAATACAATAATACAGTGAAACAGAAATAGTCAATTAGAAATATTTTAAACTAATTTAATATCCTCTTAATATTCTCAAAACTAAACTCTCAAACTACACTACACAACTCTATCTCTCATTTCTCCTACATATAAAAAAGAAAAAATTGATTTCTCATTCTTCAGTCCAAAAACATCTATGTGAAAAAGTCATCTTCTTGCTATTGTGTAATATATTTATAACCTTAATTTTTACCTTATAATTTTATTGTTTGACAATCCTCAAATCCTTCAAGCATCTTCATGTTTTCCTTTTTATATATTAAAGGTCTGCCAATCTCTTGAGAAGTTGTTTAAATTAGATAGTTTGTTGATTTCAAATATCTGCAAAATCGAATTTTC